TAAGAACAAGTGATAGCTCAGGGTATATTCAATAGGCAACTAACCCAAGCCTCAAGGATTCCAATCATTAACACGCAGAAAAATAAATAATACTGGTTATCGAAAAGAAAATAGAGCACAAAATTTGATAGCAAGTAGAGACAATAAGTGATGGAAACAAAACTAGTAAGATCAAATAGGTTATAACATAACATTTGAGAAGGTGAAAGATTACTTGAAATGGGCATAGTCATGGAAAACGAAAAAATAATGATGTAATAGTATGTAAAGCAGTCACACAGCACTTCATGACTAAACTGCTCACCATGCTATCAGAATTACACCAGGCATTTCTCCTTGGTGTTCATACTCCCCATGGGCTTTTATACAGGCTTGCAAATGACAGTAGAATAGACAGCAACCTAATCATGAAGCTCTGCGACCCTCACTGAAAGTAATTAGCTATATAATAATGTCAGATAAAGTTCCAGGGCCCCTGCAATAGTTGTTTACAGTTATAAATATCAACTGAATTTAGTGGAATATATGACATAAAATAATATACTTCGTATGTTGTTCTTCCAGTTCAGATATATTTTACAATTTAAGCTCATTTTTATTACGGGCTATGTTGCAAGCAATACATGAAGTTTATCAGGATTTAGTGGAAACTTGAAGTACAATCACACTCTACTGGCATTTGATTTCAAAATATTCTTTAGCCTTTTTTTCTAAAGACTCTACATGAAGTAGAGTCTCCGAACCACAAATATTAGAAGATATTTAGAATCAATATATTTTGACCTTAGTAACCAATTGCAAAAAATAAACTTAAAAAGATATATTAAAAATATTTTTAAATTGGGAATATATGAATATAAATTTATTTTAATATTTTTCAATTAGGTAAACTTACATCTAAATGTAGTGCAATAAAGTTCAAAATCATCAACCAAAAAATAGCCAGGAAACTGTTTATTGATAAATCAACCAATAGACCAAGAAATAATCCATGAATCAATGAATTCAGAAAATATATTAGGAAACAAATATATGATAAAAAAAAGTTACATATAAAATATATAATTGTACTTATAAAATATATAATGTTAAATATATATGTATAAGATAAGGATATATGTAACTAAAATTCACACCCTGAAAACTGCTAGGAATTAATAAGATGCACATTCATTTCCATAAGGTAAACAAGCAGCATAATATAAAACCCAGAATACAGACTCAAACAAATTATAAAATTAAGACTCAGGTATACTCAAATAGAAAATCAATACCCAATGGAGAAAAATAGAGTTAGATACTTTTTTCCATAGTTTATTGATTTTGGATGCTGGTCCTCGGGCTTGCACTCAGAGTGGGGGCTGTGTCCTAGAGTTTTTTTGCTGAAGGCCACCACTACCACTTAAGCCATAGCTAGCTGCACTTCCAGCTATTTGGGGTAGCCTGGGGTAGCTAACTGGAGAATAAGAAGCTCATGGACTTTCTTGCTTTGGCTAGAAAGTAAGATCTCAGCCTCCTGAGTAGCTAGAATTACAAGGCATAAGGCATCCTGGCACTTGGTGTTTTCGTAGTTAATTTTGTTTGCCCTATGTAAAACTGATAAAGAACATACAAATCATCAAAATAAGGAATGACACAGACACCATAACTACAGATTATGCTGATATTTACGGGAATGTCAGATTCATTCTAAGAAATTCTTTGTAAGATTTAAAAAAAATCTAAGAATTTCAGAGCAAATGACCCAACGTTTAAAAGAGAAAAATCAACTTACAATATGGAAAAAATTATCCAAATATTCAGCAATAAGATACTGTCATGGAAGATGCCTTTGCTAAAACTTACTGAACTCTAATGAAAGTAAATAAAAACAAACATAGATAAATGAAGAGTGATATACCATATTTATAGATGACAAGAAACAATATTGCTCAAATTCAACTTTTCAAAATATTGAATAACCTATTCACTAAAATTGTGATAAAAATTAGGACAGCAGGGCTGGGAAGGTGGCTCAGTGGTAGAGCGCTTGCCTTGCATGCATGAGGCCTTGGGTTTGATTCCTCAGCACCACATAAGCAAAAACAAAAAAGCCAGAAGTGGCGCTGTGGCTCAAGTGGTAGAGCGTTAGCCTTGAGCTGAAGAGCTGAGGGACAGTGCCCAGGCCCAGAGTTCAGGTCCATGACCGGACCAATATATATACATATATATAAATTAGGACAGCATCATTTGTACAGGTTCTTAAGCTTAACCTAAAATTTATATGGTATGAATAGCAATCACAAAATAGAAAATAAGAACAAAGTTAGCTTTTTGCAAAACATAAAAACCTACCACAAACCTACTGTGGACCCATTGCAACAATGAGATGTACAAGTCATTATGTTGAAAACGAACTTCACAACTTTGGTGGGGGGGGGGGGGGCCGGGAGGAGGATGGGAAGGGATGGGAAGGGGAAACAAAGGAGGAGGCAACAATGCTTGGTAAGAAATGTACTCATCATCTTGCCCATGTAATTGTAACCCCTCTGTACAGTATTTTCACAATAAAAAAAGTTCAAAAAAATATAAATAAATAAATAAAAAGTATTTTCTTTTTTGCAACAAGTGGGGTGTTCTAAAAAAATATAAACTCAAGACTTGTGCAAAACTCAAGGCTTTGAAATTCATGCTTGCATTCAAAGGTTGTGTTAGGTGGAAAGAACTCAGACATTATCACTCGAACCCAATAGGGATACAGGTTGACCCATTGCAACAATGAGATGTACAAGGCGTTATGTTGAAAAACCAACTTTACAATTTGGGGGGGGGGGGCCAGGAGGAGGGGAAGTATAGTATGGTAGGGGAAAAACAAAGGAGGAGGTAACAATGCTCAATAGGAAATGTACTCATTGCTTACTCATGTAACTGTAACCCCTCTGTACAGTATTTTCACAATGAAAAACTTTTTTTTAAAAAAAGCAAGCATAAAAAATGATTTGTTCTGAATGCCTAAACTGCTTATGGGAAACAAAAACAAAAAACAAAAAACCCATTCTCCCTTTCATGAAAAAAAAAAAAATGGAAAGAGAAGTCCAAGGGTAACCATGGCATTTTTCAGGCCCCATCTGGGAGGGCCAGGGAGACCTTAATGAGTCACCTGGTTCCATATATCACTTTTGTACAACCAACAAAAGGAAGGCCCTTTCTCTCAAAGGGACAAGCAGCAATAGCCTTAGAGGATTTGTTATGTTTGATTAGAAGCTCCTTCTCTCTCACCCCATGCACACAAGCACAACAGAACTACATTTCTGGACACTGGGGCCTGAGCTGGTTCATATTGTTGAGTTCCTGGTCCCTATGACCTATAAAAAAGTAAATGGGCAACCTCTACTTTATAAAGTCCTATTTCAAATTCAGCATCAATATTTTCTACTACTGAAAGGTAAGTGCAAGGTACATCAATTTTTAAAATTTTTATTGTGAAAATACCATACAGAGGGGTTACATCAATTTTTAAAGATGAACATTCATTTGTTTAAAGAGAAACTAAAAAAATAAAAGAATCACTTTCACTAATTTTAGTTCTTGATCCCTTTGGAAGCCATGTATTCAGCAAGAGAGTGTACATGCATTGATTATTTTGGTACCCTCAGACCTATTTACACAAGAGAACTCAAGCAGTGTTGGTTAATTTTAGCAACCCAAATTACTGCTTGGCTTGAGCAGCTAAGGCTACACTATGCAAAGGACAATGATATGCACAAGACACTATATTGAAAATGAACTTTACAACTTCAGGGGGAGGGGAGTGAGGGAGGTAGGGGAAGGAAGAGATAGTGGGAGAAAAAGAAAGGAAGGGGTAAAAACGCTCAATAAGAAATGTACTCTTTACCTTACTCATGTAACTGTAGCCTCTGTACAGCAGTCCTAGGGTCTCCAACTACACAACCATAACTGAGTTTAGAAAATGCAAAAACGTGGTGCCTAAAAATAATGAAATGTTAACAAATTCACCCTTAAGAGTTAGAGACGTTTTTGGAGAAAAAATAACCTTGAAGGGTGAAAAATCACACACAGCATTGATGGTAGGATGTCAATGTGGAACAAATATGAGAAAATAAAGCACATGGGGTGACTATAAGTAGTTCAGCAAAGCTAGGCCAGTGTGAGGGGTGGATAGAAAGATACTATGACATACAAGCAAAGTCCCAGTGTAGGGCTATGCCAGAAAGAATTCTGTCTTCTGGGCTGATGAAACAACATTAGAATAAGAAGATCTGAGAAAATATTGACAGAATTAAATGAATCGAATTGCTCATCTGCTTTTTCATAGCAAACGATCTCTACGAAATATTTGCGAATGATAAAAGGAAAATAAGGAAAGTCAAAAGGGACAGAAGCAAAGAAAATGGTGAGTCTCAAGTCTGTGGGGACATTAGGAATTGAGGAGAGACAATAGTTACCTCCCTACTGTGAGAACTAAGTGAGAACTAAGTTGTAGACAGACTCAACTGGATTTTGTTACATAATGAGATGAAAAGTTCAAAAGATGCTCAAAGTGTAGAGATGAAGGAATGGATGGATTTGGAATCATTTCTCAGATGTAAAAATATAGGATATGGAAGTTAAAGAAAGTTATGCGTTTGAAATGGGCTCCACTTTGAGATGTTTCTGGGATTCCCAAGACTGATAGGCAATGAGGAGAACCCAAGTAGATAATTGAAATATGTGTCTAGACTTTGGAAGAGAGATTAGCCTAGGAATCAAGATTTGAGACAATTTCATATAAGATAACATTAATAAAAAGATACCTGAGAAGGCAGAGAGTAAGGACCACTCCTTCCTCCTTTTATGCAAAGATAAAATTCTAGTAGTGTAGAGCAGAGGAAGAGGTGGGCAGAGGAAGAATAGCCAGGAATGAGTCTATGAAAGAAAAGAATACAAGAGACATGGAGAATGAAAATATTAAACAAACGAAGTACTCATTTTTTTTCAACAGGGATAACTTCAGACCTGAGATGGAGCTTGGAAACCACACCACTGTGACAGAGTTCATCATTCTGGGCTTAACAGAAGATCCTACACTTCGTGTCATCTTCTTTGTAATATTTCTAGGGGTTTATGTCGTCACTTTAGTAGGCAATATCAGCATAATCACTTTAATAAGAAGCTGTTCCCAGCTCCACACCCCCATGTACCTGTTCCTTAGCCATCTGGCTTTTGTGGACATTGGGTATTCCACCTCAGTCACACCTATAATGCTTGTAGGTTTCTTTGGACATGGAACAGCCCTCCCTGTGGCTGGCTGTGAGGCTCAACTATGTTCTGTTGTGTTGTTTGGGACAGCTGAGTGCTTTCTGCTGGCAGCCATGGCCTATGATCGCTTTGTGGCCATCTGCTCACCCCTGCTCTACTCAACCCACATGTCCCCCAGAGTTTGCATTCTCTTGGTGGCGGTGTCCTATCTGGGTGGTTGTGTGAATTCTGGTACATTTGGAAGTTGTTTACTGAGTCTGTCCTTCTGTGGGCCCAATCGTGTTGATCACTTTTTCTGTGATTTTTCTCCTCTGTTGAAACTTTCCTGCTCAGATATCTCCGTTGTAGAAATGATCCCATCCGTCTCTTCTGGCTCCATCATTGTGCTCACAGTGTTTGTCATCGCTGTGTCTTACATCTCCATCCTCACCACCATCCTGAAGATGCGCTCCACGGAAGGCCGACACAAGGCCTTCTCCACCTGCACCTCCCACCTCACTGCAGTCATCCTGTACTACGGGACCATCACATTCATTTATGTGATGCCCAAGTCCAACTACTCCACTAAGCAGAACAGGATAGTGTCTCTGTTCTACACAGTTGTGATCCCCATGTTGAACCCCCTGATCTACAGCCTGAGGAACAGAGATGTGAAGGAGGCCCTGAGGAAGATGACTGTCAGAATGTATTCTTAGCATCAGTTTGAATTTAAGTCATGTATGTGTGTGAGGATTTTATTTATTTCTATCATATTTTGAGTCTACTATACGCAGCTTAGTGGAGTGATTGATTAAAAAATTGTATTTCTGTGTTCCCTTACCTTTATATACTTCTATCTCAATAGAAAGACATCTTGAAATCAATAAAATTATAGTATAAATTATTACTATTAGGGAACTTTTGCAGATGTCAAGAAGTTTTTGTTTAATTTACTTAGCTCTTGCTCTTGCTGTTATGCCAGGCTGCATTCTAAATGAATCATATACATGTATTGCTCACATAGATCAATTATCCTTCTGAGCCTCATTTTGCATACTATTATTTTTCTGTTTCCAAGAAGTGTTCCTGGAGGATCAAATTAGTGAATATTACTATATTCCTGAAGAACACTGGATATGAGATTAACATTTGAAATCAGAGAGTCTAGCTCTAAAACTTCTATGATGGTATATTTAATTTTCATAACATCTACTATGATGTTGGGATTATGAATTCCATTCAATTTACAGATGTAAAAACTGGGTCTTAACCAAAATCATTTGTTCAGAAAAATATAGTCTCAATTATGTGTTTCTATGATCTGTATACTTAATCTACACCATCAGCCTAGTAATGTTAGCATGAGGACACTTAGAGGATTTTCTTGGTGGTGTTCAAGCGAGACTAGCACTTTCCATCAATCATTGGACAGCCTCATGCTAAGATTGTCTTGCTTGTGCAGACACTGGAGCAAGGGTAAGGCTAAGAACACTGGGCTGATTCCCATTATTTAGGAAATCTCATCTTGATCTAGAATCACAGGATTTCACTGGAGTTCGAGCCATATGTAAATATGTATTAGAAACAAACCATTTAACATAAGGTAAACTTCATTCTTTTAGATACTAATAAGGTCTTTAAAAAATCTAAGCATTGCAATTTTACCTTCACAACAACTCTAGTTCCACAGATCCAGATCTATAAGAAAATTAGAACTGGCTAAAAAATCCAATCTTATCAATATCATCACAGGTAGCACTACACATTTTTATTGTAGAAATAAGACTTGAAATGGTGAGAAGTGAATTCCTGAAACATAGAAACTCCCAAGCAAATGCTGGGAATGGAAGATTTAGAATGGCATCTGAATGAAAGCTTTAGAATCTAATTTTCCCTCCTCAAGTAATGGATTGAGAGATACAAAGGCTTAGAAGTATTCAAAATGTTCTAACAAAATGGAAAATATTTCTAATATATTTATTTGAAAATTTAAAACAATTTTATTACTATTGTAAAGGTGATGTACAAGGGGTTATAGTTATATAAATCAATTAATGAGTACATTTCTTTTTGGACAATGTCACCCCTTCATTCATTCTCTCCTAGTTTTTCCCTCTTGTCCACACCAAGTTGTTTAGTTCACTTTCAACATAATAATTTTATTGTTATTATTAAGGTATTGAACATAGGAGCTATCATTTCACAAACAAGGTGATAGTATATCATTATCAATTGAAACAATAGAGTATAATGAATATTTTTCCAGTGGAAAATACAAAACAAAGACCTAATTAAAAGTCTTACAACATACAAAGTACATTGTTTTATGCCATATATTCTGCTAAATGCTGTTGATATTTATAACTATAAACAACTATTGCAGGGACCCTGGAACTTTACCAAAAATTAGGATACAACATATTAGTATCGAGGTTCATGATTAGGTTGCTGTCTATTCTACTGGCACCTGTTTAAAAGCCCATGGGGAGTATGAACACCAAGGAGAAATGCCTGGTGTAATTCTGATAGCATGGTGAACAGTTTAGTCATGAAGTGCTGTGTGACTGCTTTACATACTACTACATCGTTTTTGTTGTCCATGACAATACCCATTTCAAGTAATCTTTCATCTTCTCAATTAAAGTTATGTTATAATCTATTTTGATCTTACTAGTTTTGTTTCCATCATTTATTGTCTCTACTTGCTCTCAAGTTTTGTGCCCTATTTTCTTTTGGACAACCAGTATTATTTAGTTTTCTGTGTGTTAATGATTGGAATCCTTGAGGCTTGGGTTAGTTGCCTATTGAATATACCCTGAGCTATCACTTGTTCTTATTATCTCTCAGGCAAATGAGTTCAAGGTTTGAGATTCCCTAGAACTCTGTGGATGAAAGTGTGAGTTAATCAATGAGAAAAAGTTATTTTCTTTTTTTAAATTTTTATTGTGAAAATACCGAACAGAGGGGTTACAATTACATGGGCAAGGTAATGAGTATATTTCTTATCAAGCATTACTACCTCCTCCTTTGTTTCCCCTTCCATCCCTTCCTATCTCCCCCCACCCTGTGCTAATCCCCCCCTCACCAAAGTTGTAAAGTTTGTTTTTCAACATAACGTCTTGTACATCTCATTGCAACAGGTCCACCTGTATCCCTATTTAAACAATTTATTTCCCTTCCCCTGCACAAAGTATACCAACATCACATACAGTGAAAACAGGGGTTAAACTGTGGGGGAGGGACATACAAAGCAACAAAGAAATCATCTTATAAATATGTTAGAAACAATCGCAAGAAAGAAAAAAACATTTGAATCCTTATCTTGGGGTTCATTTCACCTAACATCAACTTATCTGACCATTTCTGCTTGTCTCAGACATATCTGACATATAGTAGATATAATTAGTATATGTCTGAGAGAAAAAGTTATTTTCTAAAAAGGAAAAGAAAGAAAAGTAAGTAATATGGCTACTAGCACACTAAGAATGATGATGTTTCTCCAGCAGACAGTCACAATTTTAAATACCAGATATTTACTCTGATCTAGAACCCTAGGCAGCATATGGGTCTGATCATGAAGTCATTCTAAATTTTGGCATTTTTGTCTCTCTAGAAGCTTGGCTCTCTTGTTAAAAATTATTGTGCATGTTCTCTTTCATTGAGTCCTTAGAATCTCAGGGAACCCAAGCCTTCTAGCAGAGGATATTGGACCTGTTTGAATCCAATAGTGGAATTCACAGTTTAATCAAGGTTGCTCCTTCTGTTCTTCTATAGTGACCACTTTATTATGCTTTCATAAGAGGCCAAGAATACAGACAAGAATGTTTTTATGAAGCCAATCTCTAATAGTAATCTCTATTACTCTCTGTTAATCTCTAATAGTATTTTATCATTTCTCTTCAAATGTACTAAAGTCATATCTAGAGATATCAAGCTTATCCAATGATTAGCTGAGGCTAACATTGATATGGCCTAAGGATTGCACTATTTATTAGTTAGCATTCTATTGTTCTATTCTATTATTCTATTGTTGTGACCCATGACTGAGATAATCGCCTTGCAAAGTGAAAAAAAAAAATGTTGATTTGGGCAGATAGCTTTAGAGGGGTTCAATCCCTGATGAGACTTTGGGCCTTTGGTGATACATAGTAGGACAAAACAAGTCACCTATTGCTCAGGTAAATAAAAAGATATAAGCAAAGTAAACGAAAGAAACATTCAAACATTCAAAAAGAGCCTGCGATCCCACTATTCTATTTGAGGCAAGCTCCCGATCAACTAAAAAATTGCCACTAGACTCAATTTCTGAAAATTTCCACCATTTCCAATAGTATCCTTACATAGAGCAAACCATGTAGCACAAAAGCCTTTGTGGAGGGGGGCATAAGATCAAAGAGCAATAAATTATAATAACCTTAATACCACAGAAAAGCTTAAAAGAAAATATGAAAAAAATATTTGTAGCATATCTGATTTAACGTAACTCAATTTATGTTCTAGTTTACAAATTCTATTTTTTGAACATTTTTATTGTAAAAATGTTATAGAGGGGTTACAGTTACATGAGCAAGATAGTGAGTACATTTCCTATTGAGCATTGTTGCCTCCTCCTTTGTTTTCCCCCTACCATCCTTTTAAAAGGAACCATGAGCCCCTCAAATTCTGTGTCATAAAAACTTTAAACCTTGCTAATTCCTGAAAAGCTCTATACTACCTAAGGAGATATCCATAGATACATTTTTTTGTTAGTCATAGGGCCTGAACTCTGGGTCTGGGCACTGTCCCTCAGCTCTTCAGCTCAAGGCTAGTGCCCTACCATTTAAGCCACAGCAACACTTCTGGATTTTTTCTGCTTATTTGGTGCTGAGGAATCAAAGCCAGGGCCTCATGCATGCAAAGCCGGCACTCTACTACTGAGCCACCTTCCAAGCTCCCCTACAGATACATTTTAAGCACAGACAGTCAATTTCTTATTATATTTGTGGGATATTAATACTATAAAGTCCTAAAAGCTAGCACACATCACTAGGAAAATATTTTTCTACTAAGATGCTTCTTCAGAGCCTCCTTAATATCATTATTCCTGAGACTGTAGATCAGGGGGTTCAACATGGGGATCACCACAGTATAGAAGACAGATACCACTTTGTTCTGGTCAGTGGAGTACATGGACTTGGGCATCACATAAACAAATGTAACTGTCCCATAAAACAAAGTGACAGCAGTGAGGTGGGAAGTGCAGGTGGAGAAGGCCTTGTGGCGTCCTTCCGTGGATCTCATCTTCAGGATGGTGATGACGATGTAGATATAGGAGATGGCTATGACAATCACTGTGAACACAATGATAGAACCAGAAGTAAATGAGGGAACAACTGCAGGGACACTGACATCAGAACAGGAGAGCTCAACTAAAGGAGCAAAATCACAGAAAAAATGATTAATTCTATTTGATCCACAGAAGAGTAAAGAAAGGAAAGAAAGGGTGAAGGTGAAAGCATTAAGGAAGCCTCCTATGTAAGTTACCACAAGTAATCCCACACAGACTTGTGTGGACATTTTGGTTGAATATAACAATGGGTTACAGATAGCCATAAAGCGATCATAGGCCATGGCTGCCAAAAGGAAACCTTCAACTGTCCCAAAGAAAATGACCCCATCAAGCTGGATGGCACATCCAAGATAGGAAATTGTATTTCTCTCTACCAGAAAGTTAACAAGCATGTTTGGTGTGACAGAAGTTGAAAAGATCATGTCAGCAAAAGCCAAGTGACTCAGAAAAAAGTACATGGGGTGATGGAGCTGAGTGGAGACTCTGATGAGAAGGATTGTACAGAAATTTCCAGATACAGTCACCAGGTAGATGCACAGGATGATGATGAAGAGGATGACTCGAAGGACTGGATCATGCGTTAAGCCCAATAAAATGAATTCTGTCACTGCAGTGTGGTTCCCATCCACCAGAGAATCCATCAGACAACGTAGAGACTGCCAGACAAACCTGTGATGAAAGTATTCATGAATATACCTATAAATATGTTGATTTCATTGTCTTTAACATTTATGATGTGCCTATAGAAGTAAAAGTATTAATGTAACAGTGCTTATTTATGTGTAGTAGTGTCCATCTATACTTTTTATTTTAGCAGACCTTATATCATTTGGATGTTCTGCAGTTCACAGAATCAGAATCATGCAAATTGCATCCAGCATAAGGGGAATAATATAGCCAAATATAATAAATTTGAGATAATCACATTCTCAATCATTTCTCTTAAAGCAGTACATCAAAAGAAGTAGGTGGCTTTATACCTGGGATTTTTAATGATGAAACTATTAAACCAAACTGTGCCCTATCACTCTCTGATTTGTTCAGCTCTTTAATATTTGTTTTGTTTCATCAGTCATGGGGCTTGAACTCAAAGCCTGGAAATGTCCCTGAACTCAGATCTCAGTCTCCTGATTAGCTAAGATTATAGGCAGGAGCCACCTGTGCACAACTTTTGCTCTCTTGTGATTAAAGACGTTAGAACTTCTTCCATGTTTGTGATTTTTGTCAGAACAAAGACAAAGTTACTATGCTTTGAAGCATCCCTAAGACAATAATGAAAAAATAACTAGAAAAGAAACTATAACCACCATAATAAAGATTCAGTAAAGCTATTTTTTTAAAGTTTATAAGTATAAATATGAAAACTTCTGAGAATGTGAATAACTTTACAGCATTTCTTTCAAATATTATCAAATAAAACTTACTTTAACTTATTTAAGAATTATTTCCACATATGGAATTTTCATTTATGTACATCTTTCCTTGGCTTTCATTTTCAGCTAAGCCTCAAATCCTTTCAGGTAAGGCCAAAGGATCTACAAATCCTTTGTGCATGTATTTTCTTTCATTTTCTTCTATATTATGTAGCAGCTATGGAAAATTCATTCCTGTGCCCTAGATTTTTTATTAGCATTATTATGCCTCATAATGCATTTCAAATTATTTTAGTATGGGGATATATGTAGCATTTATATATAAAACATGTGATATATTTCAAGCTTAATTTACATTTTTGCTTAACACTATCAACCACATTTTTCCATGTTTCTATAACCTTTATAATTGAAGATGTCAAATGTCAAGCTATTTAGTATATTTCTGATATAACTTCATAATCCTTCTTCAATTATTTATCCAAAGGAGTCTTCATATTGCACATGTATCTTCACAATTTTATACCTTTCAAGAGTCATCTTAACAAGTCATGTTAACATAATGCTATGATTTTCTACTCATGAAAGAAAATATTACTAGTTGTAATTTCAATAAGAATGTAGTGCTTTTGGCTAAAAATACTACTCTAATCCTTAACATTTTACACATTTCCAGAAAAAAATATCAGTGCCAATGTCTGCAAAAATGACTTAGTGCCTTAAAAGTTTTAAAATTTGTTCTTTTAGAATCCTTTCATTGAATGGATTCAGAAGTGCAATGAACTTCTCATTGAGAACACGTATCCCACTAAATAAAGTGTTGTCTCTTTATTAAAATCTTTAAACTAGTAAGAGGTCGCTGTCTTTGATGTCATGTTAGCTCTACCATTGAAAAAGAATCTGTTTTTTATCTTACCAGTTGCCCACAATGAGTTTAATGGTACAGCTCCTCTATTTTCTGTATAGAAACATCGAAGTATTTAAATCCAGATGTTATCCCTATACTGCCTTCCCTTTTCTAAAATCCAGTGTAATGGTTTTCAGATCCCTTCAAATCCTCTTTTACAGACTCTGAATCTACTCTGACCTGAGGAAAGAAGCCAAATACTGAGCAACATTTTCTCTGCCTGCTGACTCAAGTAGGATTCTGTGGGACAATCTTGCTTTCTTGTGGCACCATATGAGTCAATTTCTCCTGATCACAGTGATGGAGATGGGACTAATATAACACAGATCCCAGGGTCAGAGCATGGGGAACTGATAAAGTCTTTGCTTAATCAGCTCAAGACCCTGAGAAAGCCCAGATTCTGGGCCTACCAAAGACCAGCTGTAATTATTTGCACATAGGACTCAATGTCATTATCACTTTTTATCCTGGCAAAATGAGAATAATTGTTCCTATAATGAAGCAGTGTCTTGAGATTAAAAGACATGATATGAGACTGGGTGGTTTGGAACAGGCCAGTTTGTAAATTCCAGACAACTCAGGGCAAACTTAGGGGGAAAACCTTTCTCAAGAGCAAAAGTGCTGGCGACATATTTCAAGGAGTACAGCTTAAATATAAGACCCCAGATCTTTCCACAGAAGTAGAAATAAAAGATAGCTCTGTAAAGATCCCTAGAGGGGCTGGGAAGGTGGCTCAGTGGTAGAGTGCTTGCCTTGCATGCCTGAGGCCCTGGGTTCGATTCCTCAGCACCACATAAGCAAAAAAAGAAAAAAACCTGAAGTGGCGCTGTGGCTCAAGTGGTAGAGCGCTAGCCTTGAGCTGAAAAGCTGAGGGACAGCATCCAGTCCGAGTTCAGGCCCCACGACCGGACCAAAAAAAAAAGAAAGAAAGAAAGAAAATGACCTTAATGTGAAGGGTAAACAAAGGAGGAGGCTGCAATGCTTGATAAGAAATGTATGCATTATCCTGCCCATGTAATTGTACAGTATGTTCACAAAAAAATAAAATTAAATTAAAAAAAAAGATCCCCGGAGGTATTTGGTCATACATCTGGGTGAAATAGCATTTTTGATTAAGTAAGAATAATGTCTTGCTAGGTTTTCCACCATTCAACTTTCATAAGTAGAATTTCTTTTAGCAGGTCAAGGGATTTTCACCTTAAGATAATACCTGCAATATCTGATACATTCTTAGTTGTAGACTATGACATTTATATGTATAATATGCTGAAATTTTTGAATCTTCCATTCATCTCCAACATACAGTCGGGGTCTATTATTCATCACTGTTGTCAGCATTTGTGTTTCTCCACTAAGACTACTGACTGAATGTTCAAATATTCATTTCTCAAGGCATTGATCAATTATGATTAGAAGACATAGAACAGTGAGGTCATCCAAACAACCAGGCTGTTTCTTCTCATCTCTTCCTTTGAATATCTTTAGCTTCTCAAGCCAACCAATAGTTTTGGCTGCTACAGACCATCCTCATCCTGAGTGTCTGAGTTTTGGGCAGACGGGTCTACAGGAACTAGAATTACCATTACAACAAGCCTCTTGAGCTGAGTAGAGTTTCCATACAGGTCAGAGCTAATTTGGGGGAAAACTTTAATTTTTAATATCCTCTTCAACAAATAAGAATTCATTCTAAAAAAATCCATGAATTTTATGCTTACCTTTTAGAAGGGAAATTATTGAAGTTCAGTTCCTAACTGCTTTATTAAGTTTGTATTTTCCATTTACTGTTGTGGGTAGTGGGGATCAAATCCTCCACAACGTGAATCACTGAACACATCCACAGGAACATAGTAACTGATATTCAATGAGGGTGACAGTGGGTCATTGTATACAGGGTATAAAAAGAAGGTTCCAATCCAACATATCAAATCCTATAGGGTTATATGATTGCTGGTCCTGTGAGAGCAAGATCCTTGAGTTTCTTGTACAGAAATGATTTATGAAACCAGGTGACTCATTAAGGCTTGGCTGACCTTTCCCAAAGGGACATCTACTTGCCACCATGTCCTTTTAACTTATCTGTTCATTTGGGCCCCACATGATGATGTCAAGTACTTTTAAATTAAAATTAACTTTTGAATAAAATTGCACACAAGCAGTAGAGTTGAAAGAAGAATTTAAAAAGAGAAAACATTGCTTTACACTAGTGACAACCTTACTGCAGGAAAAAAAATTAAATTATTTAGGAAATATGTATATACATGATTGTCCCTTTATTTGCCAGTCCTGGGGCCTGAAATATGGGCCTAGGCATTGTCCCTCAGCTTTTCAGCTCAAGGCTAGTGCTCTACCACATGAGCCACAGCAGCACTTCTGGCTTCTTCTGCTTATGCGGTACTTAGGAATTGAGCTCAGGGCCTCATGCATGCAAGGCAAGCACTCTACTACTGAGCCACCTGCCCAGCCCTGATTGTCCCTTTTTAAAGTATCTTCAAACTCTTTTCCCACCCTTCAGCAGAAGAATTAAAAAATCTTTTCTGACTCATTGAGAAGAGTCAACAGGCAGTATTTGAAAGTATTATATAGTTGACTCAGTTCACACACAGACCCAATCTTCTTCCCTATATCTCAAAAGTGTTAACATGAAAACTCATCATTTCTACAGGCATTTTGGCAAATTCCAGTAAGCAGAACATCTAAAAGAGACATATTTGCTACTACACTCCTCATTGTCTTCCCTTAAATTCTGCTCAGGCACAACTCTTCTTTTTTGCACCACATTTTTCCTTCTAGGATAGTCAGACTAAATAAGGGAGTATATATTTCCACCAAGACATCAAATTATTTCTCTTCCCATGCAAGCTGACCCACTGAATCTAAAATTAGACTTGCCACAAATCTTCCAATTAGCTCTTATTTGTGTTTTTTTTTAATTTTTACATGACAAGCCAACAGAAATCACTATGAAGAAATGTGTTTGACTCCTTGCCCATAAAAACAAATATATTCTGAAAATGAAAGGCTAAAATAAAATCTACCAAGCAAATGGCTCCCCTAAAACAGGTGGGAGTTGTAATCCTAATATCAGATAAAATAGACTTCATATTAAAATTAGTGAGAAGAGATAAAGAAGGTCCCTAAATACTAATTAAAGGATCTCTCCTTCAGGAGGATATTGCAATTCTAAATATCTATTCGCCAAACAATGGAGCACCCAAATTTATCCAAGAAACACTACTTTGCCTCAAATCTCACATAGATCCAAAGGCCTTACTTGTTGGGGACTTTAACACACCACTATCCCCACTAGATAGATCAACTCAGCAAAAAATCAAGAGAAACTACAGATCTAAACAACTGCATAG